ATACCAAACGACTAATTTATTATTATTTTTTTAATTTAATTTTTTTTTCCTCCCTTTGAATTTATATCAAAATTATTCAGAGTAAGTCTTGTATGTGGCTAGCCACACGGTGTGATCATATTAATTTAATTATAAGAATATTCTTTATGTATATATATGAGTAACCCTATTTATTCAAAAGAGTAACCTCATTTTGTCCATTAAAGTAACTCCAATTCATTATATGAGTAATATCAACTAATTTAGAAATAAGTAACCCGTTTGTTCATTCGAATAACTCCTAATTTTTGTTTTATAAATTGAAAGAATAATTTCAGTTATGTAAGAGAGTAACCCATTTTCTTCATTTAAATAACCCACATACATCAAGATAATCCCATTTGTCTTTAATGTAACCTAATACGAAAATTTCCAAAAAAAAAAATAGTAATAAATAAATAAAATAAATACAACTGTCATGTCACGAATGATAAGACAACCTAGGGCAAAGGTAGACTTGGATCACGGAATAAGTACACTTCTCTGCCTCTCTCTCTCTCTATTCTCTATTTAAACACTATTCAATTTGAACTTCAATTTTCAGAGCTTTGTAATCTTTCTCGAAGTTTCAACACACAAAAATTAAAGCACGTATTTCTACCAAATAAATATTTGCAACTCTCTCTTTTTATCTCTTTTTAAAATTTCCTTATCAAAAGAATGGCAGAAAAACAAGAATTAGTATCGTTATTTGATTTTGATAAGACGATAATTGGAGTACGATAGTGATGATTGGGTTATTGATAATTTGGGTTTTACCCAAATCTTCAACACCCTTCTTTCTACCATGCCTTACAACTCTCTTATGGTTAGTGTTCTCCCTTTTTTTTAATTCCATTAGCTTATTATTACTTGGATTATAATTTGTCATTGTTAATCTCTTCGTTAAGAATCAAGAGTTGCTCTAATGGTTAGGAGTTTTGTCATATATCTTAAAGATTGATAGCTAGATTTTAATATTTTGCAATGTTTATGTTAATACACAAATAGAAAGATCGAAAGAATCCTAAAACACACGTAGCTAGTCAGTATGCATGATTTAATATAGATGTGGTGGGACTGACCTAAATTTACCTAGCTTCAATTAATTATGTTTGCCCTTGTTTAGACTAAGTTTGATGAGCTGTTGTGAGTTATGTATAGACGTGTCCCAAAAAATAAATTATATAATGCGCCGCACATATCTATGAAATCGTATATTCTTATAACATTTGTCATTACTTTCAATTTTATATAAGACCAAAAATACATTAAAAAAAATCATCTAAACTTTCTTCTAGTCCCTGTTTCCCACCTTCTAAACTGCCTTACGGGCACAACACCATACCACCATAACCAAACGGGAGCACCGGCAAGGGGCAATTCACGATATTTCTGGAGGATGTTTTTATGTTAGACGTTTGAAAATTTTAAGATGATTACATTGGTATGTTGTTCATAAAAAATTCCAAGTGAAAGATATTTGCCCTAGTAAATTGAAAGTATAATAAATGTTACTCTCTTGTCTCTTTTATATTGTCCCATTCCACAAATCTGCTTTATTAAAAATTGGTAAGGGAAGAAAAAAAAGTGTGATCTCAATTTAATATTAGTGGGTTTAATTAAATGAATTGGAGAGAGAGGGAAGTACTTAAAATTAGTTTAACTCTTCACATGGGAGAGAGGTTGACAATAAAGCAAACTCATTTCCCACCAACTTTACAATGGTACAAGGTCACCCAATTTTCTAAAAATTTTAAAATTTCAACACTTTTTAAAATTTCACCCCAATCCTCCTGAAATTGTTGCCTCCTTCAGCTGGTGCTCGGGTATAACTCATGCACACTGTTTCTGATGTGTTAGGCGCCTGAAGTGAGGCTAGAGGAGGTGTCGTACACATAACGACCAGGGGGTGTTGGGGATGAACTCCTCTTCATCATCATCGGAGTTAATTGGGGATGGGTTATGATAAAATTGAAGTTTATCCTTCAAAAAATCATAATCCTCACTAGTTAGCTCTGAATCAAACCCACCCTTACCACAGATTTGTGGGTCAATTTTTTTTTTTGAAAATTATTGAAATTAAAATTCATGGTAATCAGATCTGGGAATAAACTATCAAGAACATACAAATACCCACACTACGAAGGAGAATTTCTCAAGGATAGATCTTAAGAAAGAGATTTCTACAGAAAAATAAAAAAATAAAATTCTGAAATTGTAGAACCGAATTTAGGGTTCATCAACGGAGGAGAGAGAAAATACCAAATGAGTTAAAAAAAAAATAGGGTTTTTATTTTTATAAGGGTGGTGAGAAAATAGAGGTAGTTGGAGGAGATGAGAGTGAAATTAATGGTGGAAGAAAATTACAGGAAAAGATAGATGGAGAGGACATTATTTGAATGAGAAGAGAGAAAACATTGACAAGAAGAGAGAGAAAAAGTGAAGTGATAGAGGAGAGAGAGTAATTAGTGGGTTAGAGGGAGCTCTTAGGATATATGATACCGTGACATGGCTGGGTTATAAAAATTAAATAGAAAATAGAATGAGGAAATTAATAAGGGACATTCATTTATGGCAAATGGAGCAATAAAAAAGGACAAAGGGAGTACTTGTAACATGATATGGATGACATTCCCTTCATAACCAATTAGTACAATAGTACCTGAATTATATGTTTATATATTAGAGTGATCAGATTATGAACCAATAAAAAAAAGTAATTGAGTTTGCTTTGCAATTACTAGAGACGTGCTTCCTTGTTCAACTACAGGATAAAATGATGGAGGAACTTCATTTGCAAGGAACAACAATACAAGATATAACAGAATGCTTGATCAAGGTTCCATTGTCTCCAAACATCATATCTGCAATAAAATCGGCTTATGATTCAGGGTATTATACTCCTTCCTGTCTCAAGTAATAGTTTCACGTGTTTGAATTGGGGTTAATCTTAAAATCTTTTCGAGAAATGAAAATTGGTAAAAACGTATACAACGAGTTTTTTTGTATAAAACAATCTTAACCAGGCCACCTCAAAACATGTTCCACTAAAACACATAGCCAATGGGCCCAATGTAGGCTCTTCCTTGGAAATTGTTACTTAAGGGTATCAATTATTATTACTCCGAAACATTTAACATTTACTAATTAATTTAGAAAGTGACCTATTATTTTAAGACAACCTTATTTTGAAATGGGCAATTCCTTAGAGATGGATAGATGTTCATCAACGTATAATTTCCGCTAAAACCCTTCCTACCATACCGAAGTTTTTATGCTTTTGATCTTACATTCAATTCTTAGTTTCTTACTCATTATGGAATCAGCTGCATGCCATGTTCATAAATTTATGTTATTCAGGTGTGATTTGAGGATTGTAAGCGACGCAAACACTTTTTTCATAGAGACTATTTTGAAGCATCATGGAGTGTTACATTGTTTCTCTGAAATCAACACGAATTCAGCTATTGTTGATGAGGATGGCAGACTCCGTATTTCGCCATTTCATGACTTTAACTCATCTTCTCATGGGTGCAACCTTTGTCCTCCCAATCTTTGCAAGGTACATATGATTCTAATAACTCTTCTATAATTACTTTGTTCTGGCTTCAAAATTTGCCTAATTACTAGTTATGTGACAATTAATTCTGCTCTTTTAAACTTGTTACATTATGTAGCAAAAGGCTTGCACCTTCTGATCTTGGGTTGCCAAGGAAATTAATTTCATGAATTTTGAATGCATGACTATAGTTTTTCTGATGTATTTTTGCGAAAATGAAGCAGTTTCTGACTTTGATGAGCTTAATTATATTTCATTTGATCGTCTTCCTTCCAACATCTGAAGTATGTTGTTAATAATAACAGGGGACAATTTTTACAAGAATCCAAGCTTCTTCGTTAGAAAAGCGGTTCATCTATGTAGGAGATGGAAAAAATGATTATTGCCCAAGTTTAAAGCTAACAGCAAAAGATTATGTGATGCCAAGAAAGCATTTTCCTCTGTGGAATGCAATTTGTATCGATCCTGCACTTATAAAGGCGTCGATTCATGAATGGGAGGACGGCGAAGAACTTGGAAGGAACTTGATTAACTTAATTAGTTCTTTGATGATCATGAAAGCAGATGAAGTTCTTATAGCTGAGGAATATCTTTTTGCTGACTGTAAGTCTGATCATGTTGCTGCACCTGAGTCCTTTCAGAAGTCAGTCCCGGTCCCTCATTAAGTATGAATTTATGATGTGAAACTCCTTATCTTTGTGGTTGAAGTTGATCAATTTCTGAGTAATAGCATGACAACCATGGCTTTGCAGGCAGTGTATGTAGTCATAGGTACACACTTGATAATGAATCAAAATAGTAATGGTGATGTTGCCAGTGACCACAGAAAATCTATTGATGTAGTGATGTATGCTTGATGTCCAAATAAGGTGGTAAATAGGTTTTTCGGATTGGATTATAGCTTGATTCAGATCACATTCGAATTTTGAGTCATTCGATTCAGTTTGAGTTCAGTTCTTATAATACGGAGTATTAGGTTGATCGATAAAATTTAGATTTTTTGCCAGAACGGACCTATTAATTAAAATATCTGTAACCTTTTTTCCCTTTTTTTTGGTACCATATCATTTAATTATGACAAATTTTAGCCGACATCCAACCAAAACAGTCAAACTTCAGACCACAGGTACAAATCAAGTCCCTGTTAATTAGCTCATAGAGCTACCCAATACTCAGCTTTGTGAAATCACTGCTTTTGTCCAATTATTATTTAGGTCATGATCAGTTACAATTGAAATTTCTTGCAATTTGTACTTTTGGTTGAGTCAGTGTGTATTTCATCAGGTCTAATTATGGATGAAATTAGTTAAAATAATGACCATAATACAATCAGAGTCAAAGCACATTCTAAATCTTTTATGAATAACAATGAGTTGTGATGAATTAACCAAAACCCGACTCGATTCAAACTATTTCTATAGAAAAGGTAACAACTTTTTTTGACATTCCACGATACATTGTGTAAGAGTCGAATACATTGATGAGCACTTGATCAATAGATGTACAAATGTACTACATGTCTATATTACATTTCAACTAATTTTCCAAAAATATAATATGGCATTGCTGCAGATAAAGCACTGATAGCTGTGTACTGTTTTGAGCATGAAGAAAAGGTTTATATCAGGAAAAGAGGAAATATTTACTCTTTCCTCAAAGAATTGCATTTCTTATTTCTTTCCATAGCATAATGATTATTCCAAAGATTTACACACAACTCAACCCCCATGAAATCTATGATTACAAAATTAACAAATGTTCAATTTCTCAACCTTTCCAAACTAAATATAATTTATAAATACCTGTCCTGTTTCCTATAGTTTTTTATATTTTTTTCCTCTTATCTTATCTACAGCCCTTCTGTACCACCTCAAACTCAATTCTAACCAAAAAACTGCCTAACACCACTCCTTACTGCGTATATAACGATTACAATGACTTATCTTGCTATTAATCCTCGAGCTATACCTCAAGTGAGATGCGAGTCTTGATAGGCTTCAACTTTAGGCCCATGCTCTCGGGTGAAAGTAGCTCTGGGGAAATACAAGACGGACTTAATGGGCTTCTTGGGCTTACACTCATGTGTGATTGCCTGTAGAAGCCATAACCCATGAGGAAATATTCTAGAGGGATCAACATGGCATGTGGTTGCTCCTCGGTCACCAAAGACCCGCATGCCTGAACCTGTAATTTCAAACAGGAAGGATTAGTGAACAGATTGCAGCAAAAGATTATGTTTAACATCAACATCATAGGCAATAATTAGGGTACCTCCACTAAGGCACTAAATCTTCTATCTAGTTTTGTGGCCATGTGCACTGCTTCTGAGTGGAAAGATGAGTCCTCTCCAACAAATATTAGTGAACGACATCGTAGTTTCTTCAATCCTTCACTTATATCAGTCCTCCTGAGTAGAAAAGAGCAAGAGGAAAAATTCATATGAAAACTATTAAATGTGAGAGCACAGAAGATCAGGTGGTATATTTGAGGACTTAGCAAGACAAAGACACCCGGAGTACCATCTTTGTTCTGATAATAAAAAGGGCGGCAAGATCCTATATGACTTTAATTCTTACCAATTACCTCACCAGAAACATGTAATGATTTTTTTCAAGGACGTGGAAGGTAATGGTTCATAATAATTAGAGGAAACATTTTAGTATTAAAGTTACTTTGAAGCATTAATGAAAAATGAGTAGTACACTACATGGACTACTCCCTCCATCCCTAATGCATGATAAGTCCTAGTTTAACCTGTCCCAAGATGATAGGACACTTATTTAAAGTTATACTTTCAACTTGCTCATGACTGTCATGGTTGAGATGCAAAGACTTGTAGGAAATGGTAGTTTACTGTATTTCAATTCAACTCTTCAAAAATGACCTCCAATCAAAGTAGCCTGTTATTATAAAAGGGCAGAGACTCTAGTGATAACTTACTATGAAGTATTTATCTGTAAGCAAAGCTACATTGTTTAAGTATAAAAAATTAGCTTCTGTAGTTTCCAACGCTATAGTGAAGGGTTAAAGAGTAAATAGCAATATAATAAGGAGAGGAGATCAGCCGATAACCTTGATTTTTAGAAACATGTCAAAATCAAGAAGATAAAGGAGAAAGACAATACCTGTTAATTGCCTCCAAAAAATGCATGACATTAATACTTTCTCTATCATCCAGCCACTGATAGAACCAAAGGTAAACAATATATCAGTACTTCCACACCAATGCAAATAAACAGAACTCCCCATTCACATAGTAACACCGACAGAAAAATACATATCAAAATAGGGAAAATTTCTCAAAAATGATAAATGAGGATATTATGGCTAAAGAACTCACTTTTCGACAAGCCTGAACTATATCTGATTCTGGTACAAGGGAATTACCCCGAAGTTCCTGCAACAGGATTCATAGTACACCATTAAAGCATACCATACTAGAGTTTTAATTAGATGTATACATAATGTAATTAGACACTAATCACAAGCACAATCATGAAATATACCTTGCTAAAGTATCGTTTGAGCAGCATCTCTTTAACAACACTGCACATGCCATAGAAGTAAAGTAGATTTGACATCACCTACAAAAAATACAGAGCTTTATCAGGCAAAGATTCTTTCCTTTGAACTATTGGTAGACAAGTTCAGAAAAAGGGACCTTATTGTACAACCATTCGGTCCAAGATGGTGCTCTGCATAGAGGAGAGATAAGTATCAAACCAAGAACACGCTGCTTATATTTCGTCTGCATGTAAAAAGGCAAAAGGAATGACAATAAGTACAAATACAACTTATTTTGAAACTTTTTTTGGCACGATTGCATCAAAATACAGCGACACAACTTACAGCAAATAATGTTAAAACGTATGCTCCAGCAGTCACTCCCATACACATAACTTCACCTAGCCTGCAACATGTAATAGTCCCCAACGTAAGTTTCGTCAATTGTGCTCGTCAGTACTGGTCTTAAAATGATCAAGACAGCAACCAAAGGTCTACGGCCCAACGTTGTATTTTATTACATGCAACATGAAATAAACCAGTGGCAGGGCTCGAGAAAGTAAGTGAAACAACTGACAATTCTGCTTAACATAAAACTCTCAAACTTGCAAAAGTTTTCGTAATGGAAATTACCCGAAATAGTCAAGAACCTCAACTATCTGATCAGCCAAATCATCAACTGAAGGCTCAGAGGATTCATATTCATAGCTTATTGCAGCAGCTCCCCACTGAAACAGCTCTTAACAAAAGTTCCATGTTAGAAACAATACAAGCAAGATCCTTTAACTTTGTCCCAAAAAAACAAAGCCAACTAGGATCATTAATAATACAGGTAATAACAACTCCTACTATTATTCAATGGTGAATATATAAATGCTGCTTCTGCCCGACTTTATCAGTCACACTATTAGTGTAATTTGAGCTGGTAATGTGACATTTAGAGTCGAATAGACGTCGTATATTTATAAGAAAAAAACTAACTCGTCCAAGTTACAAACCTCATGGCCAGGAGGACTGATATGGTAGATGCAAAAGTTGTGAACAAGCAAAGATAATGCCTCAGGACACATGAATAATCCTTGAAAACACGATGCATCTGCTCAAAACAATCCGCGAAAAAACAAAATCAAAATCATATTCTAATACAAATGCAATAGTCATTACACTTACATGCTATTCATAATTAAGGATTAAACCCCGTCTTAAATGCCACGCAACCATCTTAATCCCTTTTTTTCCATAATCATGCTTAGTAAAAAAATTGGCACTCTTAAAAATATATACACCAATACCTACCACAAGCCTATAAACATGCATAAACAATAGCTAACAAGTGACACTATAAACAAACTTAAAATTAATCAATTTCTCAATCAATCATCAATATATATAATACAAACTCACAATTTAGAGCTAAATCTGGGTAAGTAACAAGAGCTGGCTTATCTTGATCACCATAAACAGCTACCGACACCGGACCCGAACCTGTTTTAACATAATATTCCTGTACAAATTACAACATAAAACACTTACATAATGCACTTAACAACAAGAACAAAATATCTTAATTATATGATTATCAACCCATTTTTTCTAAATGTAGCATTAAATTAATTTTCTCACTTAATATGTAACATATTCATCAATTTTTGGTCCCCCCAATACCAATTTCATATAATAAGCTAAAATTAGTTTTCTGAATTGGAATAATACCCCATCAAAAACAATCAGTTTAAATTAATTTTCTCAATTCTACATTTTTGTATAACTAACAAATAACTATAATTAGCAACCCCTTAATAAATGCTAACAAATTACATTTATAATTTGTAAAATACACAACTTAATTAGCTAAATAACAAAATTAAAAAAGTGGGAAAATTACAAGAAATAAATAAATTAATTAATAAACAAATGAACAAAAATGTACCTTGCTATCAATGGAGATCGGCTCAATATTAACAGAAACAGAATCACTAGAATCTCCCATTTGTTTCTCTCTCTAACTCAAGAATTTTTTTTTTTTAAATTTATATATATTTGGGATTTTCTGTTCGGTGAGAAGGGGTTTTATATAAATGACAAAATTTTATTTTCTCTCTCCTCTGCCAGTGAGTGAGTGCAGTGAGTCACCGACGCTCGAGGAAGAAGGTGATGAAAGGGGTTAACCATGGTTAAGGGTAATCAACTATGGTAAGAGTACCGACAGTATGTATGAAATGACCATTTTAGCCTTGGATTTATATGGTAGGTTTTTGATGTGATGGGTAATTTATGGAATTTAATAGAAAGAGGGAATTTTTTTTGGAAACTTCTTTATTTTAATTTTCTGATTTTTTTTTTTTTTAAATAAATGTTGAGTGTTAATTAATTATTGGTGGTCAAATAGTCATGTGGATCTTGAGGTTTAAGCTCCAAAATCTACTTTTATAATTAAAAAATATTTAAAATATTAAAGAAATTGTGTGTTAAATAAAAGACAAGTGAAGAAGGGAAAAAAAAAAAAGGTGAAAAGTGCTTAATCTATCATTGTTGGTTGGTATATGGATTTTCTTCTTTTTTCCTTTATGTCATTTTCCTATTTTTTTCCTATTAATTTGAGAAATTGATGAGGTGTATTAATGTAGAAATTGATGAGGTGTATCAATGTAGTAAAATTATGGTCATTTATTTTGTTTGTTATGTGGATAATTTGTAGAATATTTCTTCATAGCTAGAGACGAAAATAATTTTAAGAAATGTGAAATTGATCTTTACATTACTATTATGGTTTTATTTTGTACCGGTCTTGAAGATTTTTTGGTCACGTAAACTAATTTGGTTAGAATTAGCTTTTAATATATTCTCGAACTTACTATTATAAATATGTACATATTCAATAATGAAAACCAAAACAAGATGATCTTACGAAGAAATGAATCAAGGTCTTTTTCAATGAAATTTCAATATACAAGCCAAGGATTTGTTCTAAAAGGAAAGATGTGTCATACAATGTTTGATATCATGAGTTCAACTTCTATTTTAAATTGTACGGAGTAATACGCAACGATAAATTGAATTAGCTTGAACAACTAACGTCAATACAATACAAAAATAACAATATGAATTACTGTTATTACAAATTTACACAAATTTGATAACTAGCTAGCTCATCATAACAATGTAATTATGTAATCGTATAAGTAGTAATACAATATTTTAATTTAAAATCTTCACTAATGTACAATTGTAAAATTGACTAATGCTTCGAGTATTATTTTGTACTTTATAAGTTGACCTCATATTGAGGCAATCTTTAACGTCACAAACAAGTTATCTCATCTACATACTTTCACTAGGATCAATTAGTTTCCAATTGCTTTAAAAACATGTAATACGTTTGGTAAAATCCAAAAGACTAAAATAAAGTGAAGACTTTAGGAAACAATATAATCACATATTTTACTTCAATTCAGTCCAAAATTAATTATAATAATTATTATAAAGTGAAGTATTCATATGTTTTTTGTACATAGTATTTAGATGCCTTGTTAGCTTTCAGTCCAGAAAAAATTTTCTGTTGAAACATCACAAGCATTTAGGTTCATAGTGCTTCATCATCGATACACATGTTGAAATATCAATAGTTACTTATATAATTAAAATAATGGGTTGAGTTGGTATATGTCATTGACATTGGATTGCAATGAAATTTTCTTCACAAAACTAATTCATCATAAAATAGAATAATATTATCATACTTAGAAATTATATATTATATTTCCACTCATAATTCATCAAAATATATATATTTCGAATGTAAATAAATTAAATATTAACTTTTAAACTACAATTGACTTGGCAACATCAACAATTTTGGTGAAATCTTTACCTTATCTACAAATGTAGTTATGTAGTGATATGTAAAGGCATCATAACTATTCATGTTTAATTTTGACTTATCTTCTTGTATTGGTTCTTTCACTTAATGTGTTATTATTTCACTTTTTGATGTTAAAAAACTCAAATGATGAATGTATAGTATATATGAAAACAAGGGGTGATAAAAACAGTGTTGGATTTCGTAGTGTCCGACATTACGCGGAATGAAACCCGCTCAAGACCCGCACACTAATTAATGTAACTAAACATGCAATCACATAATTACACAACAAAGAGAGAGAGAAAGAGAAAAGATGATCTTACCCTCGACGCATACTTCGCTCTCTTACGAGCTCTTACTTGAAAGCTCTAACTTCGCAAGTGCGTAAGCCTTCGACGGCTCGCACCCTCGACCCGACCCGAACGGTTCCTACCCCGAAAGTTAGTCGGGGCTAGACCAAGAAAATACTAGAGTATTACGAACTTAAAGGTTTTTTCACTTATAGGGAGATGCATTATTGAGTTCAACTCAAGTGCTTCTTTCCAAACCCAAAACATGGGTATTTATAGGGAAGGGAGTCTTGATTTCCTATTTCCCATCAATGTGGGAGAATTGCATTTTGCTCAATTTATTTTAATTCAAAACAAATTAAAATGCAAATGAATCAACAAGCGTCAAGTGGCAAATGGTGAGCAAGGGTAGGTGAGGACCACTAAGGAGGGGGGGACCAAACACCACTTGCTCCCCAAACAAGCCACCAAGACCAGTCTTCCCATTGACCGGATACTGGCCCACGCACAGCTGGTTGGCAGCCTGCCAAGGCTGCCCAGCTGGCGCCTAGCTGGCCAGCCTACCTTCGCATGAGCACCAGCCCCGCAAGCATGCTCGGCCAGCAAGCCTAGCACGCATATGCATGCTTGGCTTGCGGCAAGCCTTGCGATGCGGTTGGTGGCCTAGGCTAGCCTAGCACTTGCATGGCTAGACCAATGCAAGGCTACGACTTAGCTAGTACTTGTCGCTTGCTTGATTTTCTCGTCTCGTCGAATTCTAAATTCGACTTGACTTATGACGCTCAGTTTCGATGCTTTAAGCTCAATATCCGACGTCTTTGTTCGTAATACTCTAATGACTCATCTAATCCTTCGGATTAATTCGTCGTCTCGGATTGGTTACTCGATTGGGGTGCGACCCGAAGGGTTCAGTCAAGATTAAGCTCTAATATTAATTATACATTAATATTACTGATCGGAAGCGGCCTACACCTAGGCAATTCCGATAACTTGACCTCACTGAATAATTAGCTTTCTAATAATTCCGAACCCTCTATCGGAATAATGCACTTGTTGGAAGGAGACCATTCCTTTCAAACAGGAAATGTTATCCTTAAACTTACATATCCTTAAGCTTAAGTAATTGCTACCATATAACAAAAGTTACCAAATGATTTATTTAGCCAACAAAACCTAACTTCCACTATTTCTCCTTCCCCACCATCATTAGTAGGGGTGAGCAAAAATTCCGGGTACTCGCAATTGGAACCGGAACCGGTTAGGAACTGGTGGACCCGAAATTGGAATTGGACCCGGTGGTTCCAATTCCGGGTGATAAATTAAGGACCCGGTTGCAACCGATTTCAATTCCAATTCTTAAATTTTTGGACCCAGAACCGGTTGGGTACCGGTTACCCAACATATATTAATCTAAATACATTTAAAAAAACAAAAAATATGTTGAACGTATCTAGTTAGTAAAATTAAAAAATATTATTAATACCTAACATAAATAAAATAGCTTAATGCATATATACATATAAGTATTTAACGCTAAAAATGAAAATAGACCAAAATAAGTATTATAATTTTTATTATATTTTAACAATTATATATAGGTGGGTATCCGGAATCGGAACCGGTACCCGGTGGTTCCAATTCCAATTCCTAAATTTTAGGACCCGGTTGAACCAATTCTAAGCCCGGTTCCAAATTTTAGGACCTGGTCCCAACCAATTTCAGGCCCGGTTCCTAAAAGTTTGACCGGGTACCCGGTTTACTCACCCCTGATCATTAGCATGTACCTCAACCACCATCACCACCCCTACCTCTAGCTGCTTCCGGATATCTCCCTCTTCTCTAAATTTGCTATAAGTATCAACAATGTAATGTAGATTTCATCGAGGCCTAGTCACTTGGAAACCAAAAAAATCCTAATCATTTAACCTGTTTTATTTGGACTTTGAAGATAACTCATTTTAAACATTCCTTATAAGATTACTACTTATCATCGTTGTACATCTTAATGTTATCATTTCATTAGAGGCAATGATTTCCCTATTATATATGAAAGTGCTCTCTTGATTGTAAAATCCACCATTACTAGTCCTTCAAATTGGACCACCAATCAAGATCATGAAGATCAAAGCATAAACCCACTACATTCATCATAATCATTACTATTGTACATTGGATGTCATTTTATTTTGCTATATTCAAAGCCGTTTCTTTCACTACTTCACATACTTTAATCGTAAGCGAATTGTTATTAATATAAAGACCCTTCCTAAAGACACTACCTAATTATTTTGTTCAACAAATAAACCTTTCTTTCTTTGTTTTTATATATGTACTTAGTTGATTACTATATAATGATGACAAGCTTCAATAAATATAGATATAGTGTTGTTCAATTTGTCGTTGTATATTCTTTCTTTAATTGGTAGGTAAAATTGACACACAAATAGAAGTATTTTTCTAAGCGTAAGTGCCTTAGTTATTATGCTCGTATTTGATGCTTTATCTTGGGGGATTTATCAAAAATTTACTACGAGTAATGTTTATGTAAGGATAGTTCTCTTTAAATATATGTTGTTTTTCCTAATTTCCGCTTGTACACGCGTGATGTAATGCATATTAGAGGGTGATGAGACATAATTGATATCTAAACGACACAACTAACCTACATTGGTTATTCAGTCCATAACACCATTAATTTCTTTTAAAATATGTTTATCATTAACGCTAAAGCCTTAAATTTAACTTACTAATAAAATTACTAATCGCAACGTTAATTATCATTCGGTCCTCTATATATTAAAGTGAAATTTTTTTCCTAAATCGAAACATCAATTAACAATACATTATCCCCAATACAAATATATCTCGAATAATAATAAAAACCTATAGGAGAACAATGATTAAAGGAGACATAAAATTAAAAAAAAAATAAAGATCTCACTCAAGCCCTAGAAGGATCCTTAAAAATAAAATA